TGATGATGATAGAATATAATGTAATAGAAATATGGAATCATTGGTCCCACTTCATCTGCCAATACCAGTCAGTTCAGTCTTTAATACGAGAACAGTTTATTAGAAGTTTAAGTCTGCCAAACTTTGGTTCGAACATCTTATCAGTTTTATAATCTATATATCTATAAAATAGTTCAAATATATAATATAGATTATAGTTTCGCTCTTAGGTTCTCGAAATGACTGCGATTCATTTACACAAAGCAATTGCAGAATCGGATAAACAAAGTTACCAAACGCCTACATAAGACTGATCTTCAAGTTAATGAAATACATTCACTATTCACGCTTTTCTCTCAGTTGGATAACCGTGTCACAGCCTTCTTCTTTCACTTTGGATAAAAGAATTCTGATAATAGGTTTTCTATATGAATGTATAAATGGCTTTTTTGAATCTCGACACTTTTTTTGCGTATTAAAATAGCTGTTTCATATAACTGTTGTCGTTTGATTTTTTGAGTGTGTGTGGTATGTGTTTGAGTGTGTTTGGGAGAGAGAGAGGGATGGTAGGGGAAGACAGATCCAGAAGAGAGAGAGATAGAGAAAGAAATAGAGACAGACAACAAAGGGTAAGTTCAGTGATAAGCCAAGAATATAAGCAGACAGGAATAGCACAGGAAACACAATATATTAGAATCTGACCATAACGTCTGTCAAGAATAGTCGAGACGATAATGAAGAATGACGCGTTCAAATATCACGGAAAACCTCAATGAGTGTGACGAGGGGCGCGAAAAGCGATTGCAAACAGCGAAAACAATGAGCTGAAACAAACGAGAAGATGAAGAGGATCTAGTAAACAATGAATTGGCCAACTTAGAATGCAGAGAGATCGATAAGAGTGGAGATATAACCGGAAATAACTGTATGGGGGCACGGAAGCGTAAGATATGAAATGGCAGACAGGCAGTTGAACCGGACGAATGAGGAGGCAGAGGGAGAGAGAATAGCAAGGTGTGCGAGTTATGAGGAACAAAGGGACAGCGTATGCAGACTAAGTTATGGTGGTGATAGTGCTGAAAGGCGTAGGAATGGAGTTCCGAGAAGGAGGAGGGAGGGGGAGGAGGAGGTGGAGGAGGTGGAGAAGGAGTAAGGAGAGTAGAGGGAGGAGGAGGAGGAGAGGAAAGACTGTACGAAACATGAGGTAAAAAACAATTGATCCGCTTTCATTAGCCTTTTTGAACCCAAAAAATGAAATTTACGTTTTCGGCAGAGTAATCCGATGGCTGCTAAAGGTAAAGAACGCTTCGTATGTGAATAGAAGAAGGATTTTGATTTTGCCTATGGTATTCTAAATAATTGTGTACTAGCTATATCTGATTATCTCAGAGCGCACTCTCATTGAGAGTTGACGCGATGACGCATTAGCCATGCCCCTATATTTGACTGGTCAATCTATGTGCGATATTCTGTGGAGTTTTTTTTTTAATATATATTCTTTTGGAAATGCGTCAATAATGACAATGGTAAAATAAAGAAATAAAACCAAGAAAAAAATATACATATACATACATTATTTCATATTTGCAATATGTATAACGGCAAAGAGGCGGGGCTTTGCTTGGAAAACTGCCAACGGCATTCAAAATACCTTGTCTGAAACTGGTATGGAGGAGTAAGGTACATTGGCAGCATGTTAAAAGCATCAAAGGACGAGAAACATGCACGCGCGCATGATGTAATTATATACATAGACATGTAATAATGATATATATATAGCTATATATATAGATATATATATATATATATATATATATAACTAATCTCTATATATACACCAGTATACACACAAACACACACACACACACACACACAAACAAACGCACGCACGCAACACATACACACACATACCAACACACTCACACTCACTCACAGGCACGAACACACACACACACACACAGATATAGATATGTGTGTGTGCTTTGTTGTGTGTGATCCATATGTGTTATATATAGGTATACATATGTAATATATAATATATATATATAATATATATTATATATATATACTATAATATATATGTGTTGTGTGTGTGTGTGTATGTGTGTGGTGTGTGTGTGTCCCTATAGTATTATATAGTATACATATGATATATAAATGTGTATAGTATAATGGTATTACTAAATGTATCTATAATATATCATATATATAGTATATATAGATAATATATATATATAGCCTAGTATAATGTTATGTTATACACACACACACACACACACACACACACATACGCACTACAAACACACACAAAACATAAAAATTCTGTATATATACAATATATATATATGTATGTTATTTATACAGCAATTCATTCCACGGCAGGACAAGACCTCACTCAATTCCCTCCCCCCCCATTCAACTATTTCAGAGGTTATATGGCAGTGTCGCCCTTGTCTGATGGCTGGCCCTTCCTAGCAAACGCGGTTCTGGCTGCGTGCTGACACTTGTGCCACGGCGGTCACTTCCCATACGACACCTGCGTTTGAAATTCTCAAGGCGAGATGTCGTTTTCTCGGGCTCGAGCCAGCAGTCAGAGGCAGGCATTTTTTAGGCACTAGCCGCGAGGGACAAAGCGGGAGTTCCCGTGTCCCCCCCGCTCAAATGGACTATCGGCGGCAGTCATAAGTATAGATATATATATAATATATTATGTATGTGTGTGGGTGTGTACATATATAATCATCATAGGGGGCATACGCATGGCTGCACTTTCCCGCGCCCAACCTTTGCCTCCACCTCCTGGGGTCCCTTCGAGCGAGCCTCCATGCAGCATTCCTTCCCACTCCCAGTACATCTTGGCAGATCTGATCGAATTGCTCAGCAATGAGTTTCCGTGGCCTTTCCATTGGTTTCTCCCGCCTGGGTCAACCTATGCGGAGATGACCCCATGAGCGGAGCTCTCAGGAAAACGAGCACATGCCCCATAGAGATGAAGGTTGCGATCTCTTATCCGAAATAGGTACTAGGTCTGAGTCCCAGTCATGAAGTATCTCTGAATCGACACATGTCTCCCAGTGTAACCCCATGATTCTGCGACGACACTTAGTACGAAGGCGTTAAGTCAGGTTTCAGAGCAGGTCAGTGCCAGTCTCACACCCATAGAGTAAGCCCGGGAGTCACCAGTGCTCGATGAGCCTGAATCTGTAGTTTTCCTAGTCCAAATTACCGACCAGCTCCATAACACCGTAGGCCGTCAGAGTCGTCGAGTGACCTTCACGGTCGCGAACTACGTCGTTGCATTACACTACCAAGATAAGTGAAGATATCCAAGACCTCAATTTCTCGCCACAGGGCATGCACAGACTGAACATCGACGATCCAAAAAAAAAAAACAAAAAGGTTTTTTCCCCAAAATTACTGACCTCTGGCTGGTCCAGCTGACCGCGAGTCCAAATGGGTTTCGCCTTCCTCATGCAGTTGCCCTCGAGAGCGACTTCCAGGATCTCTAATGTCTCTAAGTATCCAGTCATACAGTATGAAAGGGTATGGGGCCAGGACACATTCCGATCTCTACCCCTGGCAGACCACCGGGAAAAAGGCAGAGATGCCATCCCACACTTGACAGCACTCTCAGTATCTGTTATACGGTCAGACAGCAAATCAATAATTTCCTGGGGGGGATGCACGGAGACCAGAGGCTACAGAGACTTCTCCCGGTCGAAAGCCTTCTGAGATCAACATAAGCTGCAAACCTACCTTGTTGAAACTCAAGTCGGCGTTCCACAAGGACACGAAGTGCTAAGACCCGGTGCTATAGTTGACTTCTTGGGGGTAAAACCAGCTGCTAAGTCTCTGAGCTCGTAATAGGTGTCGTGCACTCGTGCGACAAAAAGCTAGATGAGCAAGAACCGTGCCTGGTACGCTGAGCAATGTAATACCTCTGTAGTGCCACAATCCTTTGTCACCTTCCTTTCCAGATAGGGATGACCAAGCCCCCTTTCCGTAGAGGGAATGGTACCAGTTTCCTAAAAAACGCAGACAGGACTGCAGCAAACAAAGGATCATGCTTCTCCACCCCCTTCAACAACTCTGCAGCAATCCCACAGACACCAGCAGCCTTTACACTCTTCAGCTAGAGACCACCCTTCTCACCTCTTCGATGGAAGGTGGGCCTCATTGATTAGGGATCAGTGAGGCTGTGCTGTGTGGCAGCCAACGGGAGTTGTGAAGACGGGGATCTACATATACAGTGTCAAAGTATCAGCCCAGCGGGCCCTTATACTCACCAGATCTGAAAACAATGCGACCATCCTCTGCCCTCACTGGCCCGAGTGAGAGATGGACTTTGATCAGAGTTTCCATCAGGGCTCGGAAAGCAGGTCGAAGGGCATTTTGGGCAAATGACCTTCCAACTCTTCAATGATGGGCCCCTAACGTACTCTCTTGGTCAATCTCAAAGAGGACATAACTAGAGCGAGGACAGCTCCCTGTGCAAGACATGGTCCCATTCCAGTCTGGCAGCAGACTCATCTCTCTAGGTTCAGTGCTCTCATCTGCAGACAATACGCCTCCTTAGCGAGGTCGGACCCCACGGACACTCTCGGCAGTGACTAGAGTTCTCACTTAAAAGGTATCCCAACAGTTCAGCAGGGTCATGTAGTAGTACCAAGAACTTAAACCCCGATTTTTTAAAACTGCCATGCATATCTGAGCCACCTCCTCACTCTGAGCGCTCGAGAGTGGAACACCTCGGGATGAGGTATAGATCTGTGGGCGGAGCTTAGGTTGCGATCAACAAATCGTGGTCGTAGCAAAGAATCAGCACTCTAAAAACTTTACAGTCGGAAGGATCTCCAGCGAGTATCCCGAGAATATGAGCGATCTCTTTAGCTACAAAACGCCAGTATTGGAGTTACCCAAGGTCCAGCGGTGTAGATCTCGTCTCTGGTACCACGAGCCCACAAATCATCAGGCATACTAGATCTTGGAAGTCTAAAGAGGTTTATGAGCTATTGACGTCCCTAGTAACAGAGCCATAGGGAAGATGCATAGCGGTATCCAATCCCTGTCAGTGCCAGGACTGTTGAAGTCCTCAGACCATGAGGGTGTCCCATCGGGCACATTGATACACTATAGAGCAAATTGGCGCGTAGACCATCCTCTTTCTCTTCAAGCACCACTTCCCTCAGTAAGAGTGTGTACTGCCACTTAGAGATATGAAGCCCAAAGTGTGCTCATTCTCACAAGCAAGAAATACGCTCGTCAACAGGCGGAACCTCTTGACTGAGGAACGGAAAGCGTGTCAGAGACAGCACCTCGACTCCCATATATATATATATATGTATAGATATCATATCATAGTATATATATATATATAATAGATATATAGATAACTTATATCTTTTTATGTATATGTATAAACACACACACACCACATCTTGCTGACCCGGCCATTTTCTTGAAGGAAAGGACAGGAAAGTATTACCACTCTTCAATACGCACCTTAAGATCCGAATTCACGATAGCTCAAATAAATTCCAACACAGAATCAGAAAATCAACATCACGACAGCCGTCCTCATACATCGACGTCGCTATTACAGAAAAACAAATCACGAAAATTCCAGTGAAAACATGTCAATAATGAAAGTCCAGTCAGTCCAGGTCGCATTTTTTTACCGAAGGATAAGCTAAGTCAGAAACGATGCCCTCTGACCACATTAACGTAAGGCAATTCAGCTTGATGAGATGTAGGTTTAGCCCAGGCTCTTCCTAACATGGGATAGAAGTAATCTGATTATCCTTTCAGAATAATCTGTGTATCAGTATCCGGTCATATATGCACCACACACACACACACATGTATAAACACACACGCACAACAACATGTATAAACACACACATACCACACACACACAGTATAAAAACACACACATACACACACACACATACTTATACTCACACACCCCACATATACATATACACACACAAATATGTTGTTGTTGCCTGACTTTCCTTTTTTCGGCGCTCATCCAATTAGCTAACACTCAGCACTATACTTTGTTGGGACCCGAGCAATGTACCTGCTGGTGTCAATCTTAATAAAATGCCTGTTCCAAGTACACAAACTCTGCTTTTGTAACAGAAAAACAGTATGGGACCTTTTAAAGTTCAAAAATAAGACAAGTCTTAGCAGGACTATGAAACAAACAGGCTACCAGTACTGACACTTTCCTGCGTTATGAGAATTCAGTAATATTCTTTTATGCAATAGAAGCCAATTCAGCAACACCGTCAGGCGATTTCTTCACCATCGCCCCCTTTTCCCCTAGGTCATGTGAAATATCGGAGTCTAGGCATGAGTCCTTTCGTTATAGTCCGCCGATAAATTGTAAAGCACTTTGAAGTGTTGTTTTGAATAGCAAATATGATGTATCTTAGTATTACACCATCAAGTTTATATCCGTTCATAAAGAAAATTATCTGTAAGATAACTGATAAAAAATGCCTAAAATTAGAAAAATAATCAAAACTCAGAAGTTTAAATAAGTTCAAAAGAATCCCTTTAAAAAAAGAAAAAACACACCATACCCACATTCCGTGATTCCTTAAATCAATTCCTTCAAATACCCCAATTTGATATTCATGTCAGTAGAGATTAAGAAGTGTAGTTGTATTGACTGTAATATTTGTAGTTGCCTGACAAATGATTGTAGTTATTTTGGAAAACTGCCATAAAGTAAACGTCCGTAACAAAGTCGATATCTCTGCAGAGGGTAATTAATAAACTGTAATAAATTTGATAAACAGGACTCGCAATGAGCTATTGAAAGTGGGAGATATATGATGAAGGTTCTAGGATGTACCAAGATGAGTTTTTATAAAAAGCAGATGCTCCCATTTATTATGAAGGTCCGTAAGTTCAATTCTGTGATGATTCAGGTAGCACATGAATCCTGGTAATTAAGTAGTTTTGAAATTTGGGGCGATGTGCAGAGAACTGAAGAATCATAGCGGTAGTTCGTATTAATATCCCCTAATATACTGTGATGCAATGTAATTATTAAGTCAGGAAAGGACAGGTATTTCATGCATTAACCTTTGCATCTATAATTTCCCAGCAAGTTTTTCCGATTAGTATTATATTTAGAACGCGGTTCATGTCGTATTAATAAATGTTGGTAGTTATTCTGCAATTAAACGTTCACATATTATGTCATGAAAAAATATAATTTGATTTAAAATACATCATCAGTATACGGAAAGCATGCTGTATATGTTAACACGGTGAAAAACCTATTCCCCTGTCATTAACCTTTTCAACCTTTTGTGGTTTCAAAGCTTTGACTTTATTACATAAACAAAAAGGAATTACAAAAAAAAAAAGAAACAAAAGATAAAAAAAAACAACAAACATTAATTGCATTTTATTCTTTTGTTTTCTGAAGAATCATCCGGTGTATGTCAGAGAGAAAAAAAAAACACGCGACCATGGAGCTGGAAAATCACTGTAGTACATTATTCTAAAGAGAACGAAAGAATAGAGGAAAGTATCGCAGTAATATCCATTACCATAACTCACTTGTGAAGCAGCTGAAACCTTATTACATATCAACAAACAGAAGTAGTGCCCAGTGGGAAACATCTAAATGTAATCCAACATCTAATATATTTAACTTGCTAAGCACTTCATTTACATCAAACAACAAGCATCTATACCGACCTTTTGAAGCATGGTTAGAATCTTCGATAGTTCTGTGAGACTCCCCTTTGTATATAAAAATGTAACTGACATTTAGTTCAAGGTTATACAAAACTATGGTGAACACTTGTTGATACTTGAATCTGAGAAATCGGCGTAATAGTTCGACAGATATAAGATTTTGATTTAGTTAGGGTTTCATTGAATTACCGACTGATGATTAATGGGTTGCACTATCCACGCTTATAAGGCTTCGATAAATTATTGGTAAGGATAAGGAGTTGAGTACCGTAGATGAGGTGAATGCGTTCATGTTACACGTTTTGCTCTTACCTTCAATAACGCCCTCACGCTCTTTAATTGAATGAGGGAAGTATTAACTTAGTATCTGTCAGTCTATTTACCCGTAATATGTAGAGTATTTTTCTTTTCATTTCTTGAACATGCTTAAGAGTCAAGTTATCCTATATCGTTGTATATCGTTGCCAGTATTTATATGTCACATTACCCAACTATATTTAAAGACGTGTTTACTTTACTGAATAGATTTTCAGTAAGTCGGTGAGTCGTTTTATTCTGCTGTCTTATCAGACGCGTTGTGTTACTGGCACGGGCACTTTTACACTCCCAGTGCCAAAAACGTAGATTTATCCATATGAAGATGCATGATCGATCCGTCATCTATACATAGCCTTCATTACCAGTTACTATTAATCTTGCACATTCATATGTACGATGAAATTGCGTTCGGATTTTCCATCTCCATCGCGTTTTCCGGGGCATTGAAATATCCTTACACTACTATTGTGGTGTATTATACACACACACACACATACACACACACACACACACACACACACACAAACAACAAACACACAACACACACACACCCCACAAACACACACACAGACTACACACACACACACAC